TAAGAATTGGGGTTCAATCTTAAAATGTCAACTTTGTTAAGAGGAGTAGCACAAACCTTTATAAATTGGTTTATATTTTCATCTTTATTCCATGTGGGATTTTATCTATTAACATGTCCCCGCAAGATGGTGGCTTATTTGAGTAGACCAATCTTGAAATTCGTATGCTCACTTTTGGAGTCTTAACCGAATCGAATTGCTCGTTAGAGTTTAACGTGCTCTGATACCATGTTAAGAATTCGGGTTCTAACTTAAAATGTCAACCTTGTTAAGAGGAGTAACCTAAACCCTTATAAATTGGTATATGTTTTCATCTTTATTCGATATGAGATTCTATCTCTTAATACAAATCTTGTTATTCTTCTCCACACTTTCTATGACTTTGCTTCTCGATGCTTGTTTGATATAAATCAACAAAAAATAGTATATTTATAGAAGAAAACATAAATAAAAGTTTTTTAATGAAATTCATGTGTTAGATTTTTTGTAGAAATTACCCCCCGTTTGGGCTCTATTAAATGAAAAATAAATTTTTTTCAAAACTTATTTTCAATTACACATTTTTCAATAAAATAATATTACTCTTAAATTCAAAATTTTCTCTTATTGTTTAATTACATGTTCTCCAAAAAATATTATTCCAAAAACCTTATTTTAATGGATCCCAAGCAATGGCTTAGTTGGTAAGTGGTGGAATTTTTACATACATTAAAAATCAATAATATTTCTTATATTTTTAATAGATTGATTTTTAAATGAAATGATTTGTAATATTTATTATCCAATTTTACTGAGTTTCATCTGTTCATCTTGTCTTGACTCTTGGAGGGTTCAATCATTGGTAGCTTTCACTACCAACTTACAAACCAAAAAAAAAAAAAAAATGTGGGTTCTTATAACTTAGCCCTGATCGAGCTTTATTCTTTAAAATTTATTTTCAACAATATGTTTTCAATAATTTTGCACTTAAGCATGGAATTTTTCATTTTTTTTTTTACTTTTTATCATATATTCTTAAAAGAAAATCATTTACAAAATCTATTCTAAAAAAAAAATAGGGCTCGACTTTGCGTCACAATGAATCGTTTACATTTTAGAACTAGTTAGTCGCTAGTTTGTAAGTAAATTCAAAAACATCATCAACCGTGTAAAGCAAATTAATAATAAGAATGCTTAAAAAACACAAAATGGAAGAAATTTTCTATTAATTCGAAGTCGTTACTATGTTATATCAGCAAATAATAGAATGCTTAAAATTTGATGCTAATATTTGAATTTTCTAATCTAAATTTTTGTCCAGAGTGTTAAATTTGGAAAAAACCAATGGTGGATGAGCAGGCAGCTCCCTAGTGGAGATATAAATTTATTTTTTTATTCAACGATTTACTGATATACGAATCTGCTATTATGCAATTCAACTTATTTTGCACTAAGCGGAGGGCATTCTGTGTGACTAATTATTATTATTATTATTTTTTAAAACTATGATCTAGATATCTATCAAGTTACTGTCTGGCTTTTAATTTTTGACATTTTAACAACCATTTAATTTTGTTGCATGCTTCTCAATGGATAATATTCATCCATATTACCAGGAAAAAAAAAAAAGCAAAGTTTTGCTGAAATGACGATTTAACTGCTATTCTTAATAACTAAAATATTAAATAAGAAAGAAAAGAAAAACTTGCCGTTGGGCATCACAGGAACACACAAGGATATATAAAATATAAAATGGAGAGAGTTTGCAATGTGATTTTCATTATCTTAAAACTATGGATGATGCTACGTGCCATTAAATGTGGCCCTGCACAACCACACTATAATCCTAAAATTATTTATGTTCCTTCCCACAAGCACCAACTGGCACATGGAAATGACAAGGACTGTGACCCAACTGCTAAACTAATACCATCAGGCAGATTAAATTAGGGAAAATAAGGTCCATTTCTCATCCTAATCAACTCTACACCTAGATAACACTTCCAGACTCTTTATATTCTTATCCACACAAAACATAAATTAATGCAAAAAATATTGTGAATTCGAGAATGTTGGAAATTTTACGCTTGATACGTGTAACTAGATATTATAATTAACAACTTTCCTTATATTTTTCCCCTACTTAATTATTTGTAGTTGAGAAGTGCCTTTTGTGAGTTTTTTTGTTAGTCAGCCATTAGTTTTGTGTCATTTCTGTTTTTTAGGACAAAACTCGAGCATAGAGCATTGAGGATAAAAGTGATGAACATGAGAAGTATTACGAGTTTTTAGTGCACAAGGTTCCAAGTGAAGGGATCAAGAGCCTATGATTTCGTAGAGGATCTTTAAGAGACTCTTTATTATAAAAGATCGTGTTCTATAATTTAGAGAGCATTTATAAGCTCAGTTTTTAATGCTTTTCTTTCGAGAGATTTTGATAAGGTGGAATGACTAATCATATTATTTACTATGTCCTTAAATTTTCTGTTTCATCTTTAAGCAATACCATATTCCTCAAGGAATTTAGCAAGCCCTGGACGTTGTTCTCTTGATCTGTCATATTGGTCACAGTATTCACCACTTTGGTTAGATCTAACGTGTTTTATTCTTTTACCGAGTTGATTTTCAACTTCAACCCTATAAGCCTCGAACATGTCTAGTGATTGTGATTTGTCATGAATGACATACATGCAGCCATAGCGAGAATAATCATTTATGAACGTAATAAATGATTGTTAACCATTTCAAGAAGCCAAAGGAAATGATTTACAAATATCTATATGAATTAGTTCTAAGACGTCCGAACTCTTATTGGCACTTAATTTCCTTATGTTTTATTTGTTTCCTCTTAATACGATTTACACAGATACTTCAATCTGAAAAATCAAGAGGATAAAAAATTCCTCTGACACAAGCATTTCGATTCTCTTTTGAGAAATGTGACATAAACGATTGTGCCATAATGAAGCAGAATTTTCATTGGTCAATTTACGTTTAATACATCATGAATTCGCATGCAAAGTTTCATTATAAAAGGCAATCAATTAAGCAAGTATATATTATCATTTCTAGCTAAAGAATTGGTAGCCAAAAGATTTGAATCAAGAAGAGATTAATTTATTATTTCCAAATGAATAGGAATAATCGAATTTGTCCAAAACAGAAATAAAAACCAAATTATGCCTAAAAGATAATACCACAAAAGTCTATTTCAAATCCAAATTGAAAATAGTATTTAATAATAATCTAAAAGTTTCATAGCTTCTACTTCAACTGATTTATCGTCGCCCACATAGATGAATCTTTCAGCATCATTTGACTTTCGTCTGTTCAAGTAACCTTGCATAGACACACTTATATCAGTAGTGACACCAGAATCAATCCAACAAGTATATCTAGGTACTGAAACTAAATTAACCTCAGAATAAACCAAAGTGAGAAACATACATTTCCTTACACGCTAAGCGTGGTATTTGGAGGAATTCCACAAAAGTAACTGCCAAATGATTCATCATTTTCAAGCTTTTATTGTTTTTTCTTTTTAGTTGGACTGGATGCAGCTTCCTTATTCTTTCTTTTCTTGAATTTGTCCTTAGAAGTACTAATCAAGTGAACACTTTCAGTTTTGTCTTACTTCATCTTTTCTTATTTTTTCACACGGTATGAAATGAGCTCATTTAGTGCTTGTTTGGTAGGGATTTTTGGGGGAATAATTGATTTTTGAATAGTGATATGATGGGAAATATGTGGTTGAAAAAGAAGAAAATATTATTGATGTGATGGAAAATATTATTTTATTGAAAAATGTGTGATTGAAAATGAGAATTGATTTGAAAATAAAATAATACTATCGAAATGAAGTCAAAATACTATTCAATAATGCATTTTTTATTTTTTCGAAGATAAGGGTTTTATGTTTTGTTCTTTTTGGTAATCAATAAATTAAATTATTATATTCTGTGACGTAATAAGTGGAATTCAAACTAATTATTGTTAATTAATAATATATTTTAGTTGCAGAATTTTTATTTAAAGCAGCCAGTCTAGAAGTCAAAATCGGCACCCCTGATCATGAGAAACACGTGTGAGGCAAGTGCAAGTTGTTCACCGGTTCGCAATGTGCAAATCAAAGCCGCCGCCGCCTTTATAGATGCACCATGCACGAATAGTATTTACCAAAGATTACAAGTCAAATATTTCATCTAGTCAAATGAAATTTACTAACGAAAACCCTCTCTCTTCTCATTCCCATTCCCATTTAGCTATTATGTATTATGAGCGAATCCTTACGTAATGACTTTTTTTTTTTTTTTAAGTTATCATGCCCTTTTTTAATGGGGAATAAAATCAAATTTTTAGTAGATTTTGATAAAAATTAATAAAATATATTGTTAAAAAATTTTAGAACTCTTGAAATATGAGGTTAAAATTCATTGTTAACTTTGATTTGAACCAAGTAGAGGTCAAATGTAATGTCAAGTTAAGACATGGATTGTCGGTTAAATTACTGACCTCGATTTTCAAGGATTCCATTTTGATCCAAATCGGAAAACTCGCATCTTTCTTTTTATACGAAATGAGTTCGACCTTTTTTTTTAGACTGAACACCAATTATCGATTAAAAAATTCTAACCAATTCGAAATCTCCGAAACTACAAGAATCTTTAGTTAGTATGAAATGTGATTAATTTTTATGTTGCAGCAGCTCACACAAGTGTGCTAGATTCAATCAAAATACAGTTTTATATGGTCACTCAAATTGAATATTCTAGATAGTATTGACTTAGACTGAGTCTCTAGTCAACTCACCTCCGTCCCACTTGTGCCTCAACTAATTTAGTTTTTCTACATGTTTTTTATTTTAGTTTTGGACTTTTCTTAGTAACCGAACTTTCCTAACACTTGTCACGCAATTTCCACACCCCCCTCGCCGCCTTTGCTATATAACCACGCTCCCGTACCCGTTCTTTTCTCGTACTCAATTTTCAGCTTTCTCAATTTCTCCAAATTTTAGTTCAGTAATGGCACTTGAAGCATCGAATTCTCCAGCTACTACTACTCCAACTCCAGCGTTTCAGTTCGACAACGCCACCCTCCGCTATCTCGAGCCGTGGACAAAAGGCAAGAGATCAAAGCGTTCACGCAGCGCAGAACACCATGAGCAGCCTACTGAAGAAGAATACTTGGCTCTCTGCCTTATTATGCTTGCTCGAGGTGTCGGCGGTTCAACATCAAAACCCGCCAACGCCAATACTGCCGCCGTTCAGCAGCAAAAGAAAACTCGTCTTCCGCCGCCGGTGATGAAATCTGATGATTCGACAAAGTTGTTGTACAAGTGTTCAGTTTGTGACAAAGCTTTTGGATCTTACCAAGCTTTGGGAGGGCACAAGGCCAGCCACCGGAAACTGAGTTGTCCGAGTGGAGGAGACGAATACTCCACCACCACCACCTCCTCCGCAACCACCATTACTGCTTCAGCCACAACGACGAGTGCAACCAACCGCAGTGGGAGGGTCCATGAGTGCTCCATCTGCCATAAGTGCTTCCCCACTGGACAAGCCTTGGGGGGTCATAAAAGGCGCCACTATGAAGGTGGGGCACCCATTAACAACGGAGGATCCGGCAGTAGCAGTGCAGTGATGTCATCGGAAGGAGTTGGATCCACCGTTACCCATCACCGAGACTTCGACCTTAACAAGCCGGCTCTGCCGGAGTTCTGGCCGGGCTTTGGCTCCGGTGAAGACGAAGTCGAGAGTCCCCACCCTGCTAAACGATCGCGGCTTTCTCTGCCGGCGAAGTTAGAAATGTTTTGAAGGCTAAAATTCAGGATATTCTTGAATCTGTAAGAAGAAAAAATTTGTGTAAATAGTAGTGGACTCGGTGATAGTGATTGTTTAATTGGTTTATTTTTTTAATGAAATTTAGACTCAGTTGAAGGCTTAAAGCTTCTATTATTCGCAAATTGCAGTGATAAAAATGTTTTTTTTTTCCTAGTAGCCCAAAATTAAAATGATTTAATAAAAAATTAAGTTAGTAAATTATTGGACATCTAAATAAAATGCGGGGCCTGATTTTATGTGCAGAGATCAGATCCATTAGGATTGTATTTGACGATTGACTGAATACATATGAAAATTATATATAGGGCTATATAATTCATATGTAACTTTCTCATTTTTTGGGATATCACATCAACACAAGAATTAATAGAGAAAACATATTGAAGAAGAAGATTTAAAACCCCAATAAAAGAATTCAAAAATCAAGAAAAATGATTGGAATAATCAAATTGAAGAACATGATTAAAGATCTAGAAGACAAGATTAAATATTCCAATTCAAGCATCAACATTCAATATTCAAGATACAAATCCATGGATCAAGGTATGTTTTACATTAATTAATTTCTTTGGTGATTTGACGTGGAGATCTTGACAATTCATAATGTTTTATAAAGTTTAAGTTATATGAAAAATTTAACAAGTGATATTAGAGTCAATTCATATAAAACCATTGGGATTAAATGAAGATTTTTTGGATTTTGGGTATTATTTTCGGCATTACAGCAGCGCCATGCTACGGGTAGGACGCAGGCCAGCAGAGCTTGATTATTGTTGAGCGCAAACAGTGCCCAATTTTGGGACGCTGCGGCGCCTGCTCACTGTTAAAAAATCGATTTTTTTTCCCTTTTGTTTTAGTTGTTAAAATAAAAATAAAAATAAAAGAATAAGGAATTAACAATTAAAAATTCAAATTTTGGTACTTAAATTTATTTCGGTTATCTAATGTTCTAAATTTATTAATTAAATCATGTTGCCAAAGTAACATCTCTCGCCTAAACTAATTTATTTGGAACATAATGATGGTTGTGTGTTTATAATTCATGCAGATATTCACCAACCCAAAATGGGGTAAATATTTGGCCGAATTACTAAATACTTGTGGTAAATATTGATAATTATAAAGTTTTTTATTTGAACAATAAATCGGTCCAAAAATAAGTTTAATGTTTAACATAATTTATTATCAATATTTGATTAGTACAAATAAAAGTATCACTTACAATTTAGTATTTCTATCTAAAGACTAAATATCAATGTTGTGCTCGGTTTCTTAGAATGAATTTAACATTATTTGAATTAATTAATTGTTTAATACGAATTCTAATCTGAACATATTTCTTTGATATTGTTCTCTATTCAATTAACTCTTCTATTACTATAATATATGCCAACATGAATTCTATGCCTATGCTAAATGAAACCAACTTTAAGGATTGGAAAGAGAATGTTCAGATCGTTCTTGACTGCATGGATTTAGACATTCTTTTAAGGACTAAACAATCTACAGCATTTATGGATAAAAGTTTTGCTTATGAAAAATGGGATTTTGATAAGTGGAATCATTTAAATCGCATGAGACTTATGATCATGAATTGTGGTATTCCAGAATCATTCGGGGTTGCTGTGTTCGATAAAATAACTACTGTTAAGAAATTTTTTGATGAAACTGAAAGACTCTTTGCAAAAAACGATAAAGATGAAATTAGTACACTTCTGACAAACTTAGTTTCACTAAAGTATAAAAGTAAAGGAAATATTCAGAAGTATGTCATTGAGATGTCTTATATTGCTTTAAAATAGAAGGCATTAAAGTTTGAGCTATTTGATTATTTGCTCGCGCATTTGGTTTTGATTCATCTTCCTGCACAATACAAACAATTCAATGTGAGTCACAACTGTCACAAGGAAAAGTGGATTCTAAGGGGGTGTTTGTTTTTTATTTGAGAATTGATTCTCAAATCAATTCTCATTTTCAATCACAAATTTTTCAATAAAATAATATTTTCCATCACATCAATAATATTTTCTTTTTTTTCAACCACACATTTCCCATCATATCACTATTCAAAAATCAATTATTCCCCCAAAAATCCCTACCAAACAAGTACTAAATGAGCTCATTTCATACCGTGTGAAAAAATAAGAAAAGATGAAGTAAGACAAAACTGAAAGTGTTCACTTGATTAGTAAATTGTGTGCAAGAAGAAGAAAGGCTGAAGCAAGAAAAGACTGAAAGAGCGCACTTTGCTAGTACCTCTAAGGACAAATTCAAGAAAAGAAAGAATAAGGAAGCTGTATCCAGTCCAACTAAAAAAAAAACTGAGCTTATATTCCTCAATAGAGTTCCAAGTAAAGTAACTATTGAAATTTTTTCTTCCATTTAATAAAATAATATTATAGATAAATTCAAATTTTTTCTTATTTTTAAACAACACATTTTCCATCAATACACTATTTAAAAATGAATTTTTTTAACAAAAAGGGGATCAAACAAGCCCAAAATCAAGAATTGTAGAAATATTTTAATTGTTAAATAGATAACAAATTTACAAATCGAGACTAGTGTATTACACAGTATCCTAAAAAAAAATTCGTCTCATCATCTTAAATCCTTGAGGTTTCATTTGAGCCTCTATCTTATAGGATATTATAGAGAAAATCAACAGAAATTTAACACTTAAGTTTTTACACCGACAAATTGAATTTGCTCCGAACTATCACCAAAGAAAATCTGACTATATATAATTTCAATTAGTATACTTTGCACTCCAATTTCTTATTCACATAAACATCATTTTTGAAAGGTAAATATATAATTTCGATATTCTCACGGAGAAAAACATGAATTTATTTTTTAATCTTCAAAAATGAAAGAACATGTTCCACTAAAAATATGCCAAAATAGCCTATACGCAAGCTATTTTTTCAACAATCTTATTCTTTTCGATGACTTTTCAACTAACTCTCTATTCAATCATTTAGTTAGCAGATCCGTAATGTTATCATTTGACTTCACGTAGTCAATAGAGATTACCTTGTGATATTATATATATGAAGTATATGTCTATTGACTTATACATTGCTCTGTGTCTTTCCAATTGCAGATGTCAATGTATGCATATTGATGGCATAAGGCCACTTCAGGTTAATTCTATACTAGAATTAATGTTTTTAACATTTGCAACAATACTATATTAATCCAATTAAAGACATGTTAATCTTATCTCTTACAACAACATTATTATAAAACAATGTAATTCAATTTAAAAATATACAAATAACAGATTTTCTAATAAGATCCATTCACCAATGTATACAACTTACCTTAATCAAAATGAAGAAAATTCAATGAACAGATCAGAAAAAGAATAAGATGAAGAAAGATGATGCCTAATGGCTTCAATTATTTGAGAAATGATAGAATGACCGAGAAAAATGTAGGTAGCTCATTTTAATTCTTTGAAATTTGAATTATGAAATTGGATTTAGGCTGAAAATAGGAATATGATATTTTGGGCTCAATTTATTAGTTGACAAATAAAACACGAAAAGGATATTTTTGGGCTCAATTACTTAGTTGGCAAATGAAAGAGAAAATTAAAATAATTTGACTTATTTAATATAAAAAATTAATAAAATTAGGGAGATGCGGTTCTTATTCTGTCTTGGTTTAGAATCTAAAATCGAACAAAATTCGTCGGTTCTCGATTCTGATACTCGAATTGAATCGCTCAATTCAGTTCGAGAGTTTTGTTCAGCCCTACTCTTCACCACATTTATTTAGGGTTGTCAACTTAAATTTCAAAATAGATCCGGATATGATCGTTTGTTTAAAGGATTTTCATGATATAGCTACACATCCTAATGTGAACACAAATCTATTTGTAGACTTTGAATATTTTATATAAAATACTAATTTATTAATCGTGTAAGCTATGTTTGGCTTATTACAACTCATCAAGTACATCAGATATCAAATAATTCTAGAATACTTTACTTGAGAGACACTTCACCTTTATTTTTAGATAGATGCTGACTTGTATCTATGAGTGTTCTAGTCATATCAGAATCATCCTTGTTAGATTAAAAAAAATAAAAATTATCCACATAATGTGATTGACTTAAAACGAGTCTATTTGATATTCTTAAAATTTCAACTCCAAATATCACATCGGTTAAATTCATACATTTCATGTCAACTTTTGAATTCAACATATTTTTTTAGTAAAATTTAATCATCTTAATATTACTATAAAAAATAAGCATATTGTCAACATAATGACATAAAATGACATAACATTTTTCAGCGCTGTTGACGTAAATGTATTTGTTGCACTCGTTGATCCTAAATCCTCATTATATCAGACATTATCAAATTTTTCATGCTACTGTCGTGCTTATTTCAAGTCATTTAATGACTTCATCAATTTATAGGTTTTTTTTTCATATCCTGGTATTGAAAACTTTTTGTTTAGATTTCTTTATCTAAATCTCCATTAAAAATACAATTTTAAAATCTATTTGATGTATTTTAATATTTTGCAAAGCTACAATCGTAAGTATCATTCTAATAGATGTTATTCTTATTATTGAAGAATATGTATCAAAGTAATCAATATTTTCTTATTGTTTGTAAACTTTTATCACTAGTTTATCCTTATACTTCTCAGTTGTTTCATCAGCTTTTATTTACCTTTTAAAAATTTATTTGTAACTTAGTGGTTTGAATCCCGGAAGAACATCCACAGCTTCCATGAATGATTTTGCAAAATAGAATCTATTTTACTATTAATAGACTATTTCCACTAAGATCCCTCTAAAAAGTTTATAGATTCTTGAAATTTTCGAAATTCACTTTTTAGCATATATTTTAGAAAATAAGGACTATAAAATTTTTCTTTTTCTTTTTTTTTTTAATTATTTTCCTAAGTCTTAGTTTAATCTCAAATTTCTCTTCTAGTCCATAGTCTT